ACATCTGTCTCCGTATCCTCAAGTGTTTGAGCTTGCCAGTGGAATTTGTGTTTTACTCATTGTCAACTGTTTCTTTTCTTATATATTTTTTTAATTTGAAGTATACCTAGTTGAAGGAAATCAAAATGTAGTAATTCATATGCTGCCAAATAATAAGAGACAGAACTTCAATGTCACTCTGAGCCTATGTATGTTAACTTGCATAGTGCCACAGGTAGAGAATAAGCATAGCACAGAGGTTTTCAAACTGTGGGGCGCATCCCCCTAAGAGGGCATGGAGGAATGTTCAGGGGGGTGAGCGGCAATGCTAGGTGGCTCATGCCAGTTACACATGGCAGGGCCCAGGCCATCCCCCATGGGGGCGGGAAGGGAGCGCCACCTCCACCCTCTGATTCACCTCACCAGGTCACCCAGCCTGTGGGTCAGTGACAACATCCACCAGGACAGCATTGATTTCCACTCCCGGCAGCCTCAGTGCCTATAGCTGGCTCCACCCTCAGAGACCATCCCACGAGCCTTCCCCCACCCTGACAACCTAAGGGGGGAGGGGCAGAGAGGCAGGTATTAGCCCTGCCCTAGTGGTTCAGCCTGGCTGCCAGGTAGAAGTAGCCCACTGCTGAGAAAGCCTTGGTTGTGCCATTGGTAAATATCTGTATTCGAAACGTACAGGTGTAGATAATATAATTAAAGTTGTATTAAGGTCTCTGTTAGGTTTATGAGTATGCTATCAAGCATACTTTTGCATGTGTCTATTTTTGTTGGGGGTGGAGGGTGCAACCAAAAATTATAACTCAAAGGGAGGGCTCAGCACAGAAAGTTTGCAAACCACTGGCATAGTGACTAATCGGAGAAACTAGGATTAAGAAGCAGATTGGTCCTGAGTGTCTAGACTCCAAAGTCTGAAAAGGCCTAATTCAGCATTGAAAAATGAGTAAAGCGGTTGAACTAATAGAGGAAGTTCAGGAAGGTGAAGGGCCTATTTGGAGATGTGAACCAGGAGAAAAAGCCAGGTGTTGGAGGAAGAAAGAGTTTTTATACCTGATAATTTGGGTTGAGATTTTAAGTTTTTTGTGGGCATAGGCCCTTTTTTCTCTTCTTTGTAAATAAAGTTTGGTCAGTGAGCAACATTTTGCATTAACTTTTTGAAGGCCATGCACACAATGAAGGAAAATGTGGGCTTGCATTTGTGCAGATGTACCTGTCATATCCTGTAAACATGCAAACCTTACTGATTCTAAGCTCAGTAGTCCCAAACTAAATGGGATTTATTATATACATATTTAAACATTGAATTATCACAATTTATAACATATAGACAATTAAAATACAATAATGTCCAGCATATATTACTATTGGACACTACTGGCAATAGAAAATGGGTAGGCAAAATTGACAGTTAAGCTGAGGTCAGACTATCTATATAGCAGCAGGTTAAAATCATGCCATTGGATGTCAGAGAGACAAGATGGGTGAAGTAATATCTTTTATTGGATCAACTTCTTTTGGTGAGAGAGACAAGCTTTCAAGCTACACAGAGCTCTTCTTCAGGTCATCCAACCCCCTTGTTTCGCTTATATCCTAGGGTCGACATGGCTACAATAACACTGCATACTTGGATTTCAGTCATTCCCAGGGATGTTCCGTTGTATACAACTGAAAATTACATTAGTAGATGAATGCCATTCAACATAATTGTCTATAATAACTGAAATAATTTTTTCTCCTTTATATTTGTGACTAAGCTGCTATTTATAGTCTGCATAGAAACATATTTTATCATGTTTTATAGTGAAAAAAGACATTTGCCCATGTTTCAATTTGTTTCGCACATGACACATCTTAGGAATTGAAATTTCATCGGAAATCTAAAACAAAGTACAGATGTGTAGTTTTGTAATGGAAGTCTAAATGCTTTATTTATGTACTTATTAACATACATACATAGCTTGTTTCTGAGCATGGGATGTGTTGATGGAATTGGAAGTTGTCAGTTTTGTCTATATTATTGGAAAATGGATTTTCAAAATTTGAGCATCTGAGTAGCTATTAGCAATCATACTGTAGTCTTTGAGTTTTTAAATAAATAGCATCATTTCAGTGAGGATGTAATTAAATTTTGGTTTAAGAGTTGTTGATATCTAAATTTTTACATCTGTGACAAAGAAAGACATTTTAAATATGAATTTCTAATTAAGTATTTGCTACTTCTTATAGTACAAGATAAAGAATCCTAGCCTGTTCTGTAGATATCAGTGATGTATGTTGGTTCCAGTTATGATAAATGTAGGATGGAGTTTAGTTTAATTATTGGTAAAAGAATACATCATTTTTACTTCCTACCAAGTTTGTTCAGACAATTAATGTTTTTCAGTAACCATGACACACTACTATTAATTTTATTATGAAAAGGGATTAAAAGACTTAACATCCATGCAAAATTCCTAGATCATGGCTTCCTTTGTAATTTACTTACCTGTTCCAGTGTTAATTGTGTCACAATGTGTGCTGATGGAAACACCCAGTGACTACCATTCTACTATTTCAAAGTATTTCCACCAAAACATCATTGCCCAGGGATCACCCAAGAAAAACTTCTCACAACCTAATGAATTTTCTGACACAAATATTCAACTTTAATACAGAAATAATATTTAGTATAAAATAAATAACGAAGGGTGAAACATGTAGTCTTTACAGGAAGGAGTGATTGTAGCCGATCTCCCAAAATGTCAGCCAGCTTTGATGCAATCATTTCCTGACCCAAAGATCATGGAAGTGGCCAGCCGTCCATTTGAAACCATCCACCCACCCAGATCTTAGCATAAGCCCAAGCTTCTAACCTCATAAAGAAGATTACAGCAACCACTGGGCAACCCCCAGCAGTCTCTACCAATGGATATCACTAATACAGGACATTGATTGTCCCTATGCTTCCTTAGTATATGCTTGGTGTTAAGGACCCCTTTCCCCAAAGCTTTCAGCCAAACTCTGGTCTGATTTCTCTCCCACCCTATTTTAAAGAGGGCAAAACACCACCAGATAGATATCAGTTGGCATCCCAGCAAACAAATTGTTCTCAGCTATCCCTTAAGCCTGAATTGGATGTCCACAGTAAAAATATCCGAATGGATGCCTGACAAATACACACTGTCAGAGCTGAGTAACCCTGGGCAATCATCTAAAATCTCCAAGATGTCATCCCATAATTAGCTGAATGCTTTTTCATGTCTCAATTTACATTTGTTCTGGCCTTGTCTAATGTGACACCAAGGAGGCTCTCCTCCATACTCACCATTTCAGCATGCTAGACCATACTACTCTGGCTAAGGAGAATAATTTCTTACACTGGTACAATCACACTTGACTCTAGCTAGCAGCCCAGACCCCGGCTCCCCCTTCTCTACTTAGATCATTCCTGACCAATAGGACAAGGATCACACTAGGTACTAGTAAGCGTCTCTAAAAAAACAAAGCATGAGGTGATCCCATCTCCATGTTCCTGTGTGTCTCCTGTCTGGTGTGAACCTTCTCAGTCCTGAAACCCATTTGCATTCCCATTGAGTGGCTGGCAGCTTTGGAGAATGAAAGCCATGCAACAAACTGGGAATTAAAAGAAATAAAATATCAGAGATCTCAGTAGTCAAATTTATTAGCCCCTAATGTGTCTCTTAAAATGACCTGGCCACCAATGACTGTGACGTCTACATTTGGAAAATCTGAACAGGCAATAGCCATGGCTGCTCCTGTAGGAAAAGGATTGTGCTCAAAACAGGCTGGGTGTGAAAACTAAAAGATGCCAAGTTTCTCCAAAATATGGCCCTGAACTGAAATTTAGTTAAAGAGGGTGTGTTCCAACAACAACATGGGGATTGGATGGAGGTTTTGTATATAGTCCACACAACTGCAACTGGCCATGCAGCTTCCCCAGGTGTTTTCTCAGCCTGATCAGCTCCCCTGCTCCCTCCTTTTGGAAAAATATATGCACAACTCAGTCTACCTGAGCCCCACTGTCAAACCATCAGTCCTCATTGTACCTGGATGCTTGATGCCTTTGACAGCTGGGATAATCTCACCTAATTTAAATCCCCCCTCCCCCCCCAAAAAAACCTGCAGGGAAAATGCTGCTTTAATTAGTAACTCACACTTCCCTTCATATGATGATGATCAAGTCCCTCAAGATCTGCAGGGTGCCAAAGAGGTGCCAGTCCACCCTGTGGAATCACAGCCAAGTACACCCCTCCATCATTTGTCTTGTAACAAAGATGCAGATGGGAAATGTGCCATCTGTGAAAAGAAAAAAATAGCAAGAAGGTGCGAAGACACAATTTCCTAAGCAATCCCACTCTCCTTTGGTCAATGGGGATAAATTATTCCACATGTTCCTCCTGAATGGGCCAAAGGTCAGGAGGCCTGGTCTCCCCCTAAATTGAAGAAACATGTTAAAACGTGAGGTACAGAACCAACCGGTGCTTGATGCCACCGACTGGTCCAACAAACTTAAACCTACTGGATACTAAGGCACCAAAGGTGTCCTGGAATCCTGACTGGCTGTCATTCCACTGCCTCTGTCCTAGCCGATGAGAATTCTGAAACTGAACCTGAGACAAATTGTCTGAACCCATGATCTCAGCCTGAGTCAATCATGGCAGAGCTGCCAATGGGAAAGAGGTAGAACAGAGCTCCACCTGTTTAGCTGGTGCACATACTTCTCCCACAGTCCTCATTTCAGCCGCCTGGTATCTCTCTTCAGAGACTCCAGCAAAGATATCCTATCCAGGTAATCCCCTGACTAGCAAAGTTGATGTGGTGTGGGCAGGGGTGGGAGAGAGGAGATGGATTGGGGCTGGGCTGGATTGAAATTTTAAAGTTGCAAAAGCCATTTAGATGAAATGCATGATCTCATTTAAAAAGAAAAAAACTTAGTTGGATGCTTCTATAATTATGATTTAATAATGAACTGAAGTAGCTTATAGGTAATATCTTTTTCTTTTCAAATATAGCTTGCTGATGATCAGGGATTGGTTTTGATGACCACTGTTGCCATGCCAGTATTTAGTAAGCAAAATGAGACTGTAAGTACTCAAACTGTGTTTCTACCATGTGATACTTTGGTGTCTGCAATGAAATTTAATAACTTGCAAAACTTTTTTATTATTATTTATTTTGCCTTTTGCATCTACTGTTAGAATAAAATTAAACAGATGATACATATATTTATGCACAAATAATTATAGTGTAGAAACTAGTTTCCAAAATAGTTAATGGTGTTATGTATCAGAGAAAACACCTAGATGATGAACTTGAGGCAGTGGTATTAGACCCATGTGTCTTCTTACATTTACATTAGCTTTGTTACAGCAAATAATCTATGTACATTTTCTCCTCCAGACTAACTTCTTATCTCAGATAGGTCCAGCACATTAGCAATATTCATATAGGTGGTTTGAATAGCTGTATTTTACAGACCTGTTATTTTAACGTCCTGCTATATTAAAGAGAATTACATATACTTCTCCCATAATGTTTAATTTTTCTCTCTCGGGTATCAGATAGCAGTGTAAATTGGAAAAGAAGAAAAGTCACATGTTTATCTGTAGCATTTCATTGAATATCAGGGTTGGAAGGGACCTCAGAAGGTCATCTAGTCCAGCCCCCTGCTCAAAGCAGGACCAATCCCCAGACAGATTTTTATCCCACTTCCCTAAATGGCCCCCTCAAGGATTGAACTCACAACCCTAGGTTTAGCAGGCCAATGCTCAAACCACTGAGCTATCCCTCCCCCCTAAATGCTTCATAAGTAGAAGAGTTTAATTGAGGGAGGCCTTCCTTATCTGCTGAAAGTTTGCACATTTCCTTGATTTCATTTTCAGGCTAAGGAAAGGAGGCCAACTGTGGATGGGGGTGTATGTTGTGTGTGGCCAGCCACATTAGCTGCAAACTACCCTTATCTTTTTAAGTAGTTGGCAGATTAGGTTACGGTCTGTACTCCTCAGTACAATTTTTACAATGTGAAAATAATTATTGATGGCATGCGTTGTTTCAACAGTGATTGTTTATCCTTCTGAGTGGTCTGCATTTTCTTTTCAAACAGAGATCCAAAGGGATTCTTTTGGGAGTAGTTGGCACAGACGTTCCAGTTAAAGAACTTCTAAAGGCCATTCCAAAATATAAGGTAATTTTATATATGAGTATGCATTCAGTATATTTAGAGTATAGGGCTGAATTAACAATAATATTTTAGATTTATTTATTGCAAGATATATAGCACCCAGTTTACATATCCAAATTAGTGACAGAATCAGAAATGGGACCCCAGGGGAAAAATGCTGTACACACTTCTACTTGTGTTAATCCTTGTAACTCCACTGACTGACTGATGTTACCATAAAAGTCCTAATTCTCTTGCGCTAATGACTAGCTCTCACAGCCCCACTGATCAAGTCAAATTTCTATTAGTCAGTGTGGGGGCACAACATTCTAGAGTTTGTACACTTTTATAGTCCCCTCTATCAATAAGTGTTCATAAATAAGTGAACTTCAATAAAATAATTGTCAGAATTCCATGCTACAGAATATCACATACTTATACTAACCATAAAATGATTTTGGAGGCCTGCATATCCTTGTGTGGAAGCCAGACAAAGATGTACTCAGTCCATCCTTAACTTTCCTTTCAGAATTCCTGCCTGCCTAGAACTGCTTGACCTGAAATCTCCTATGTCCTTGAATTAAAGCATATGTCATCTTTTATAGACTTGTTTCACACTGTCCAACCCAGTTTACTGTTGTCTTTTGTGCTGTTCAGTATACATTAAATATTCCCTTATATTTAGTTTTCCAAATGTATAGATGACACTTATAAAACTCTTTTTAAAAGAGCTATAAACAAAATAGATCATGCAAAATAAACTTGGCAATCATGAATCATTTGTAGCTTGGTAAAATAGGTTAGTGTTGAATGTAAAGGTGGTACTACTTTTCATTTAGGTTTGATCCAGTATATTATTATTTCACTAGTCCTCCACTTCTGAAGTGCTAGATTATAATCCTGTTTAGGTAACAAGTGAACATTAATGTGATGGTTTCAACATAATCACTAATGGAAGTTTCTTTGCAATACAAATAGGCCAATATTTGATGCCATACGCCTCTATTTGAGATAGGCCCACTATTTGAACAGCAGGGGTGCTGCAGGTAACAATTAAGTTGTACTGAATTTATTCAGAACCTACTCAGTCATGCTATCTGGGTCTTAGTTACTTGATCACCTAAATCATCCAGTTTTCTAGTGGAAAAGCGGACATTATTGAGATTAGGAGACCATTCTAGGAAGTCACAAAACCAGAGAACTTCAGTTTCCAAGTTCTACTGTTAATTTCATTATAACTGAATACAATAGCAATTTCTGAATGATCATGAATGATTTGCTAATGATACAGCAAGATGACAACAGACAGTTGTAGTAGCTCAAGAAATAATGAGGCCTGGTCTACACTTGAGAGACATAGCTCAGTATAGACCCCCAGTACAGACAATGCTAGGTCAGTGTAAGAAATTCTAGCTACCACCTCTCGGGGAGGTAGATTACCTACGCTGATGGGAGAAACCTTCCTACCAGCATAGGTAGTGTCTACACTAAAGTGCTACAGTGAAACAGCTGCAGTGGTGTAGCTGTGCCACTGTAGGGTTTTAAGTGTAAACATACCTGGAGACAATATTGGTCAGCATTATAGGTGGTGGTCTCCCCACATTCCAGCAGCCTAATTGTTGTCAAGTTTTTTGTAGGTATCATAAGAAAGAAGAGTTTGAAGGAGAGTTTTGAAGGAGGGTAACAAGAGAGCTTTGCAGATGTTTATGGGGACCTCGTCCCAAGCATAAGGAGCAGCATGGAAGAAAGCACAAAAGTGCTTGTTTAACATTAACAAAAATGGGCAATGGAGGCTGAACTGATCAGAGGCAGGAGATTACATCTCAATAGTGAATGAGAGCTGATAGGTTGGGTGGGGATAGGTCCTGAAGGACCTTTAAAGAGAAGACAAGCAGCTTATGTCTGATGCAATAGGGAAGGGGAAGTTCAAGCTAGTGGATAAATACAAAGGGAGGGTCACTTACGGGTTAAAATAATGAACTAGGAAAATTATCTTTGCAGCAGCATTCTGCATGGATATGAGTGGGGCAAGATTATGTTTGCTAAGACTCAAGAGAAGGATGTTGCAGTAATTGAGACACAAGATGATGAGAGCCTGGATGAGAGTTTTAGCTATATGGCTGAATACAAAAGACCATATCTTAGAGATGTTACACAGAAAGAATCTGAAAGAGTTTGACATAGCCTGGATATGAGGACCTAGAGAAGTCTGAGTTGATGATGATGTCCAGGTTACAGGCCTAAGTGACCCGCAGTATTAGGGTGACCAGACAGCAAATGTGAAAAATTGGGACGGGGTGGGGGGTAATAGGAGCCTATATAAGAAAAAGACCCCAAAATCGTGACTGTCCCTATAAAATAGGGACACATAGTCACCCTAGGCAGGATGGTGGTGTTGTCCAGAGTGATCCAGAAAGGAGGCATGGGACTGTTCCTTGGTTTTGGTTTCTGTTGTTGTTTGTTTTGGGGTGCTCAGGAGCGAAAGATTAAAAGCTCTGTTTTATCTATGTTGACCATATTATATAGAGAAGGCTCAGTCTGATTCTATGAAATAATATGTCTCTCTTTCTGAGAAATAGATTCAAGGAGGTATTTTACACTACACTGTGTAACACAAGAGAAGGTAATTGTAACAGGCACTTTATTATCATGCAGTTTAATTATGGTGGAGCACCCACCCGGCAGAGGGGAAGTGAGCGCCGTAGGGGTGAGTGGCAGGCGGGTGGGTGAAGAGGCAGGTGGTGGGCGGGCAAGCGAGCGGGTGGGGAGGCGAGCGGTGGGTGGGGGACTGAGCAGGGATGCAGTAAGCCAGTGGCAGGCTGGGGGATGAGGAAGGGTACGGTGGGGGGGGGAGGGTGAGTGGGGAGAGGGCGGGACCTGGGGCAGAGTGGGGGCGGAGCCTGGGAGGAGCCTGGGAGGAGCGGGGGTGGACTGTGGGCAGGGCTGATGGCACCCCAATGTGTCCCGATATTTTAGTGTGGTGATCTGGTCACCCTATTTGTCCTGAATGAAGAAAATGGGATTTGACTCATTAATATTTCATTCTTACATGTCACTTTGCAGTGGCCATACAAAGTTTCTTCCCTTTTGAAATAATCTATCAGTTTGAGAAAGAGTTCCAATATTTCTAACAGGGTATGCTGCTGGAAGCAGCAATGTCTCTGAAAACAGAAGAAACATTTTAAATACATTGTACATCTTCAAGCATGGCACAAACCATGACGAAGTGCCACACTTGAAGGCACAGAGCACTTCAAATAGATAAATATTGTTTCTAGGATGTATACCACCCACATCTATTTCATTACCAGACTTTAATTGTTTAGATTTTTTCTGCAATTATCACCATATAGGCAATTATACTTGAGATCTGATATTTAGCCAGATGCAAGTTCACATGTCATAGTATAATTGGTAAAATATGTCCAAAGTTGTTTTCTTTTTGCTTTATGAAGAGATGCCAAGAGCCTACCACCTTCTATTACCCTTATTGCAACTGCTAATTCATGAAGCAACCTTCTATATGGCAGATAGAATTGAATATATATCTGATAATTCTGAGCAAAATACAATATAAATCTCAATCAGATAGGAGCTCTTGCTGATCTAGCTATAATGCCACCCTGAGTTTTATCTTTCCAGTAAATTACAGAAATCTTCAGACTTGCCATTCTAGTTATCACTGTGAGAAATGGCTCTGACTTTTGACTGTTAACATTTCTATCCAGATCATTTTGTACTAGGAACCAATTCAACCGAGCATTTAAGTATTTTCTATAGATCATCTCTGTTTAGTAAAGTTTTAATCATGTACCTGAATTTAAGCATATACTTCAGTGCATCGGGGCGGGAGGGGTAGCTCAGTGGTTTGAGCATTGGCCTACTAAACCCAGGGTTGTGAGTTCAATCCTTGAGGGGGCTATTTGGGGATCTGGGGCAAAATCAGTACTTGGTCCTGCTAGTGAAGGCGGGGAGCTGGACTCAATGACCTTTCAAGGTCCCTTCCAGTTCTAGGAGATGGGATATCTCCATTTATTTCATTTCTAAGATGGATCATTTGTTGAATCAGAGCTTTAATAGGGGGATAGTGATTTTTGTAAAAAGTAGTTGAATAACAACAAGAAATTTAAGCTAACTGCCAAACCAGGGTACATCTAGTTTGGAACGGATTGCAGTGTACTTAAGTATTTGAACACAATCACATTCCTTTATTATGTAACACATGGGTTAATTTTACAGATAAATGTTACGTTACAGTGTCTCAAAACTGAAATAACTCAGTGGAAAAGATAGTGATTGATAATCTAAATCTATATACAAATCTTTACAATGGTAACATTGAGTTATGTACAGCCCCTACAGAAAGATACTGTATCAGTGCCAAGTTTACACTAAGGGATGTTTTAATGACCATATCAGTGATTTGAAAGTACATTTATTGTAGTCAATGCGTATAGCCAACTGTGTAATAGGAATATTATCAAAAGGTAGGATTGTTATTTAAATAAGTGCAGTGCTAACTTTGATTACTTGTACTTGTGGGCCTAATGAAACATTTCATTGCTCTCAAATGAGTTCCCACAGTTCCATTCAATCCAGAAATATAAATTACATGAACTTCTGCATTAGAATTAATCCTTGTTCTGTGTATATAGAAGTAAACTTGAAATAATTTGGAAATGAAATATCCTCAACACTGTTGTATGTAAATATCACTGATAATAGGTCACCTCTTGTTCAGCCTACTCTTGGGAGCAGTCCCATTGATTTCAATGGTTCCACTGATCTAATGCAGCCACTTGCACAAGTAGGGAAGCAGAACCTGGCCCCTCCTGTGCATTTGTGAGTTTACTAAATTCCAATATCCCTTCATTTTAGCACATAGTGTATCACATCGCACCTGTTATGTTTTTCTTTTATAAATAATCTTTTAAAAAGTTCACATCAAGTACATAGGAATAAGTATCCGAGATAGCAAAATGTATTTGTGACATTTTAAAATTGTGCTATTTACCAAGTTCACAAAATGTCAAGGATTGGTGCTTTGCATTCATTTTAATGAAATATTGTGTTGAGATAAGAGTTATGAATGCCAGGTTTAAGCCGTAAATGACTAAATGTTTGGCTGCTTTTTTGTTTCAGTATTCACTCGAGACCAAGCTAATTAATACGCCTTTCTCATTTATTCTTACAGTTAGGTATTCATGGATATGCTTTTGCAATTACAAACAATGGATACATTTTGACGCATCCAGAACTCAGACCATTGGTAAGAAAGCTATTTGTTGACTTATTTTATGCATTTATAGTTATTATATTTACTTAATGTGTGAAGAATATAATATTGGTAATGAAGATCAAAATATACCACCTCATGCCTGTGAAAAATGCCACTTTTCGAGCATAGGGTTGAGTATAAATGCTTAGTATATTTTACAGCATAATAAAAACAAATGTTAACACAAATAATTCCATGGTACATAAATATACAAGTTAGTCTCTAAAAGATACAGACCTCTATTCTACAGAATGGCAAACCCCCAAATTGCTATAATTATGTGCATTTTACACTGAAATGGAATGCTCTATTACTATGTAATAACCCCTATTTGTCATTTTAAAGTGGATTTCAATTTAAAATATGTACAGAATTTTCAAAAAAGCACATTTTATAGTAAAATAGGGACACAAGGGATTTTTAGTAAAATAGCAACAAAGTTCACCTTTATTTCCTTTGTCATTTGTTTACTTTAATCAAAATAAGTAAAATAGAAGTGCCCATTATGCAAATATTTATCGACATAATACCCTGGAGAATAGCTTCGTTCTTGATTGCATCATTGTTTAGGAACAGTGCATGCAAGTGTTCCATCACCATCAACCCTTAGTAAAGCACTGGTATTAATGAATTCACTCTAGTACACATGTGGATGCCATATGTATTTCTCAAGTAGGCACTTAGGGTAATATCTGATTTCAACAATATTTTAGTAGAAAACAGCAATATTAATTGGATGGCTAATTTCATATATAAATAAATTAGAATTATTGAAAAGTATGATTTATGAAGTCATTAGCACATCCTGCATTTTCAGTCAGCACAAACATTTTGTCTGTCTAACATTTGGATTAGGAATTACACACTCAATTAACATTTGTATTTGAGTTGATTGTTTCCTTATTTATTATTTGACTGGAGGAAAGCAAATGAAAAGATCAACACTGGAACTTACATGGGTGAATGGAATAGCTTTTTTCTCAGCAGCTTTTGGATAGAAATGGAGAACTAAGCAAGGAGCAAGATGCACATTATAGTATCTTTAAAGGCACCCTAACAGAAATTTGCTCATTACATTTTTTTTATATAGTAAGGATTTCTCTTTCTGTTAAAAGTACCTTGTACTTCCATCTGTTGTTCAAATTTGTACTGTATCTGTGGCAAGGTCGTGTGTGTGTGTACCATATATGTAAACACAGGGATTGCTATAGTGGGTCAGTACCATGGTTCATCTAGTCCAGTATCTTGTCTTCAACAATTTGCAGCACTAGATGATCCAAAAGAAGGTGCAAGAAACCCCGCAGTGGGCAGACGTCTTGTAATCTGCCCCATCCCTACCCCCAGGAATGTCTCATCTTAATCCTTAGTAGATCTAGAGATGTCTTAAATTGTGAAGTATAAGAGTTAGATCTTTTGTTAATATTAACTATTATAACTGAATATTCTTCCTATTCATATAAATGTCTAATCCTTTTTAAATCTTATTAGCCTAAATGGCATCCATGAGTTCCACAGTTTAATTACACCTTGTGTGGGAAGAAGTATTTCCTTTTATCAGTTTTTAATTTGCCACCTTTTAAATTTAATTGAATACCCTTTTTTTCTTCATGTTATGAGACAGACAGAACTGAGCTCCTGATCAACTTTCTCTATACCATTCATTATTTTATATACTTCGATCATATCTTCTCATGTTTGACTCCTTGCTAAATGAAACAATCCTAATCTTTTCAATCTCTCTTCATACAAGAGTTTTTCTATCCTCCTACTCATTCTTGTTGCCCTTCCCTGAACCTCCTCTGATTCTGCAATATCTGTTTTGGAGATGCAGTGGCTAGTATTTCAGATTAGGCTGTCCCATTGATTTATATAATGGCATTATCGGTTTTTCTGTGTTATTCCTCATCCTTGTCCTTACCCATTTTTACATCTTGTTTGCTTTTTTGACTGCAGTTGCACACTGAGCAGAATCTTTATTGAGCTGTTCACAGGGTTGATCAGTTCCCTTTTCTGAGTTGATATTGTTAATTTAGAACCTTGTAAATAGAGCCCTGAAAATCTGCAGGTATCTGCTTTGTATCTGCGGATATCTGTGGATGAGGATTTCCATAGACCATTTTTGCGGCTCTCAACGCAGATGCAGATACAAATTTTATATCAGCACAGGGCTCTGCAGCACACATTCACCTGAATGGAGCAGCTGTCACCCAGCCTGCTGGGCATTCTGGGAGTTGTAGTCCCTAGCTTGCTCTGACGAAAGAGGTAAACTATAACTCCCAAAAGGGAATGAGCCACGCACAGTTTTGAAGGTGCTTTAAATGAGCAGGCGGCAATAACTGCATGCATTAGAGCCACCGTAACTGCGTAGGGGTGTCCCACCACAGGAAGAGCAGCACTGCATAGAAGGACCCAGAATTCTAGCCTCCTGCCTGGAGTGAGAAAGGAGGTATGGCGGGGCAGAGTGGGTGGCAGGGCAGGAGGTCTCTTGGGTGAAGTGGAGCCAGGGGGCAGTTGGGGACTTGACACAGCCCTGCATCACTGCTGCACAGTGACCTGTGGAGCTATTTAGAGCCCTGCAAATCTGCAGATATCAGCGAATATCCACATCCACAGATGCGTCTATCCGCAGACAGTTTTTGCGGAGCGGATGCAGATACACTTTTATGTATCCGCACAGGGCTCTACTTGTAAGATGTATATATAATTTCATTTTTTTCCTCCAGTGTGCATTGTCTTACACTTACCAACATTAAATGTCATCTGCCATCGTGTTACCCGTTTATCTAGCTTGGTAAGATCTTCCTGAAGGACTTTAATCTTCTATGCATTTGACTAACCCAAATAACTTTGTCTCATCTGCAGATGTTGCTACCTTAGTGCTCACCCAATTTCCAGATTGCTAATAAATACGTTAAATAGCATCAGACATAGTCTGGACCCATGAAGCTCTCTGCTGTTCACCAAGATGAAAACTCTTTATTTCTATTTTTTGTTCCCTGACTCTTAGCCAGTTTTTGATCCATGACAAAATTTCGCTTCAATGTTTGTTTTTTGGTTTCAATCTTGTTTTTAAAAATCTTGCAGGTTTTGAGCATGAATGTGAACTCTGCCTGGGAGGCAGCTTTAACATGTGCAACTAACACTTAATTGGTTTCATTGGCCTTGGCTGCATTAAAGGGCATTTGATATATGTGAATTGGTCTTTAAGAATTTTCTGCAACGTATTTTGGATAAACAGGGTTTCCCTCTGTATTGTTCCTGTATGTCTTCCTTTCCCACCTGTTTTTAGTTAACAAACCTTATTAACTGAGGAAGTTGCAAGAACATGTTTGAATTTAGCCAGGAATGCTAGTACAGTGATAAAGCACAGATCTTGTTCCTCATTATTGGAGTTGAACTGATAGAATTTCACATACACATGTAACGATGAACCAAAGAATTCTGTTCTACCCTATAATAAGAGGTTTGCATACTTTACTACTGTGGTCCAGCCCTCTCTCTCTAGAAATCAGCCAAATAATAGTGGTTAGGTTGGATGACAGTCAGGGTAGTTGATATTTTTTTTAAATTCAAACAATTTGCAACCATCAAGTTCTGCACATAGCTGACCTATAAAACCATATGATCTTATTATCATTGTCTGTGTCCTCCCTCACCCATTTCCTCCCTTTGTTCATCACTCTTCTCGAATATTTGTCTCAAATTACACCATAAGCTATTTGAGGCAGTGATTGCATTTTTCTGTGTGTATGTATAGCACTTAGTAGAATAGGGCAATGAACCTCACTGGGGTCTTTGGGCAATGCTGCAATATAGATTAGTGATAATGATGATGATCTCTTGTCTAACACATGTAGACTGAGGGTGAAATCTTGGCCATACTGAAGTAAGGGGCAGAACTCCCAGGATTTCACCCAGCTACTTCTGTAATGTGAAACAGCTATGCACATACTGTGTTGTCAGCTGTACCACATTCCATGGCACCCTGGCAGATTTTTCATTTATGGACTTGAGAACATCACAACAGACAAGCTGTGGGTTAATGAACGTTGTTAGCATTATCTCCTCTCCCCACTCACCACCTCCACTACCCACTCTCCAGTGTACGTATCGCACTGCAAAGAGGGAGTGGATGGGGTCGAAGCCATGAATCTACTGATCTGGGATAAGACTCAGCTCTCTTGGTGTCACCACGTCCTCCCACCCTGAGCTTAACTCTGCACTGAAGATGATAAAATGGCGCGGTGTGAGAACAGTGACCTACTTCCCACCTGTCCTTGGTTCCCATCTTTCTTAGGGCTTCTCTACATGGTAGGATAATGTGCACTAGAGGGTGTGATTTCTAAAGCACACTAATGTGCTAAGCATTAATTGGTCCACGTAGACCAAGTTGTTGCACACTAAAGGTTCCTAGTGCTCTTTAACGTAGTACCGCACTATAGTAAAGTGCAACAGGGAACCTTTAATGCAAACTAGCAGGTCTGTATGGACCAATCAATGCGCAGCACATTAATGCGCTTTAGAAGTCACACCTCTGTAGTCTGCATTACCCTGCTCTGTAGACAAGCCCTAAGTGTCACCATATTAGTCCACATCTTCTTTGGAGCCTTGCAGAGGAAGGTAAAGGTGTCAGTGGAAATACTTATGGCAAAAGAGGCAAGGGAGGAGGAATCACTAGGCAGAAATTAAAAAAAAACAACTGTGGAGGTACATGGATGGAATGAGTGGAAGAGAGAGAGACTGGAAAGGGGGAAATAAAAGAGAAGGTACAATGAGAAAAAACTCTTAGGTTAAATACCTTTATTAAATGAATTTAAATTTCTTTATTTTCAACATTTGTAGATTTGGAGGAAAGACAATAAGAAGGCACTAACTAGCTATTTAAGCATTTCTGTTACATTTGTGTTACTAATTGTCTGCTGTTGGTACAGTGCTGGAATAATTGTTATTCTGTTCTTATCCACTTTTTAGAGGTCGGGGGGAGGCAGGGG